ACTTATAGAGGTTAAATCATTTATTATGAAATAAAATATTATTCACTGTAGCGACAAATCACAAACGTTCCTTTTTCCCCCACATGTTGTCTTGAACATGTTTGACCTTAAACCTTGAAATTACGGAGGGTTAATCAGGGCTAATTGTTGATACGATTTCACTGCATTTGAGAAATGCGTCGACCCTGCATCGCATGGAAACAGAGGCAAGAGTAAGTCATCCATTGACATTTCAAAAGGTGAGATACTCTGAAAAAGCCGTTGAGTGATTGCTGCTAACGGTATCATGCGATGGCAGCTTGACCTTTTTTCCGGCAGAGAGGCTTTAATGGAGGTGCAATAAATTCAGTCTGAGATTTCCACCTATCAGACGTCAGCCTTTCACAGAGATGAGAGCTCAGCTATATAACCGCCCTTAGGTGCATGTGTTCAACGTGAACAAGTCAACAAGTCAACATGATTCATGAATGAATGTAATGGGTGGGTCTTTAATATCTAGGAAAGTGTGTGTGTTGATGAAAGTGGCTGCTAAATTCTTCTAGCTTATTATATTATTATACTATTATATTTTTGGGTTTTTTATTCCTTGTTTCAATTTAAATTGAATATAAATTATTGTCCCAGGGTGAAATTTGGATAGGGCATAAATGCAGAGACAACACACAGCTCTGTGCGTTGAGAAAAACAATAAAATAATGAAATTTAAAAAATGTAAAAGGTCACATATCCTCATTTTCAACAAGTTTAAATAAGTCTCAGAGCTCCCTACTGAGCTATATAGTCTAGTCTTCTGACTAACTTTTACACCACAGATCACACCTACCCATTCACACACTGACGGCAGAGGCTTCCATGTTTAGTGTCTTGCCCTAAGGACACATCGGAAATGTTGCTGCAGGAGCTGGGAATCAAACCCCCGTCCATGCGGTTGAGAGTCGACCGACTCTACCAACTGAGACACAGCCATGCTTATTCTAATTATCCAGATAGTTTCATAAAGTTTAACAATAAAAGAGCATGTTTTGAGGTGACTGTGATGTTCTCTTGAATACAGCACCACTTTTATAAAAGTGTAAAGAAAGTATAAAGACACAAAAGAGGACTGACAGAAAGGCATTGAATTGAAAAGTTGCTCCCATGAAAAAAAAGAAAGAAAAGAAATTGGATCTATTGAAGATTAAGGCAGAAGCTGGATGAATGGAGCGAAAAAGTACCTCAACTTAAATGTGAGTGAGGAGACTTTTAAGTCTTACAAACAGGTAGTCATACTTAATGACTGGAGTCACCTTAAAGTGGCAGCCATGTGAAAATTCAACACACTACCCTTTTGTAAAGTGGCCATTTTCACTACACCATCTCTGTTCATTTAGCATTTAAGTGTAGCTGTATAGAAGTACAGAGAGGCTGTAGTTAGTTTTAAGGTCTTGTTGTAGTGGTGTACATCAGTGGACAAACAAGCTGTTACCCCGTCTCTGAGCAGAAAAGAAACTAAATCCTTTATAATAAATCAGCGTTCCCAAGGTTGGCTGTCAGAAATGGCCACACTGTTTGAAAAATAGGGGCTGAAGAAGACAGGGAAGAGGAGATGAAATGAAGGGTGAAATGAGAAGATGATCTACAGACCGGGTAGCTGTCCCACACGACTGTGATGTTGATCACACATCACACAACGTAACTGCTGGACGGGGGGAAACGATGGAACTGTGACTGTGCTTTATTTTCTGGTTTTAACATTTTGACATGTTGTGGCAGACGGTGCTTCATGGACATCACAGAGAGGACTGATGATCTGTTTGTCCCATAGATATAAACAGGTCAATGCCGACTCCTGGCTTACCCAAATACTCTGTTGTACAAGTGTACCGTGTACCGTGTACCATCTCTATGTAGAAAAACCAGTGACATTTAAGGCCAACATATTAGTCTATCATTAAGGCTATTTATGGAAGCAGCTATATATGCAGCTGAAATTAGTTCCCTCCGGAGAGTGGCTGGGCTCAGCCTTGGAAACAGGATTAGATATTCAGAGGGAGCTCGGACTAGAGCCGCTTCTCCTTCACATCAACTGGAGCCAGCTGAAGTGGTTTGAGTATCTGCTTCGAGTGCCTCCTGGACGCCTCCCTTTGGAGGTTTTCTAGGCACGCCCGACTGGGAGCAGACCCCTAAGTAGACCCAGAGGTCGCTGGAGCGATTATATATCCTGTCTTGCATGGGGAACGCTTCAGAAATCCTTCAGGAGGAGCTGGCAAATAAAAGTTGCTGAGGAGAAAGACGTCGGGGTTGACTTACTTCACCTGTGGTAAGCGTGACCTGACCTCGGATAAATGGGAAGAAAATGGATGGATGGAAGTGTTTTGCATTCAGAAATGCTGAAATGTCCACGTTCTGCAGAAAATGCAGACGTTGCAGTGTTTCTCCAGGATCAGCTGAGCAGATGTGCTTGCACAGATATGAGTCTGTAATGCATTCAGCAGAGTTTTAAATGCAATCAGACCGGCTGCTACTTTCTCGTAATTCTTAGAAAATTACCTCCTGAGTTCAGATAAACAGAGCAGATATGTCTCTTCTTAATCCGTGGCTCTCAGCTGGTGGGTCCTGACCCAAAAGGTCTGGTCGTGGAGGGTAGTGAAAGTGTACCTGGGTGGGGGAGGGGAATAAAGTGTCAAGTCTACACAACTCTTAACAGTTTTGTTCCTTTTCTTTGTTCTGACACATGCGTCCAAACTGCACCATGTTTTCGTTCAATAAATCTGATTGGTTGAAATATATCTGAAATTGAGTGGAGGTTGGTGGAGGGTCCTGAGGCAAGTTGAGGAGCTCTGTTCTAAATTGGCTGCACTACGCCTCCATAGGCTACATTTGAAAAAGCGCCTTGTACAATGGCCTTAGCAGAAAATCCCTGTACACCTCACATTAAAGTTATAAAAGAAGCACTTGGGTGTTTGTGACAAGACAAGAGGCTTGAAAATCTATTCACGTATCGGTGATTCATGAATATTTAAAACATATATATAGGTTTACATTCATTATGTATCATGGCAGACCACTCAAAGATGACACCCGCAATGCTGTACTGCTCCAATTACCTAGGCAGCGATGTCTACATATCTCTGTTTGTCTTCTGATCTTCCATGACGTCGGATTATTTCCCCACAAGGATCAATACTGATATTATTTTTCTTTTGGTTTAAAGCCCACCCTTCATTCTCCGACTCGCTGCAGCCTTTTTACAGCATTTTTTTTTTTTTATCAACACATAAACTTCACAGCCCCATCAAGCAGGTTATTACTATTCCTGTCCTTTCACACAGACTTTTACCGTGTTTTTGATCAATGGTTGGAGCGTGCTGGTAATGGGGCTGGGGGCTGTGGCTTCCATTTTTACTGGGGACAACCACAGACCGTAAATCGTGTGCACTCTGAGCCCCGGAGAGAGATGCATCAGATGAAAGCATCCACCAAATGGAATAATACATCAACTCTTGCTTTCAACAGTTCATGCTCCTAGTCCTTTGATCTGCCTTTATTTCTACTGGTTATGTATTTATGCTGTGCAAAGCGAGCGTGTAGGCACTTCCTGTATTTAATTTGAAACAAAAAAAAAGCAGTACATTGATGCGTCTTTTTGCAGCCAAGATCGACGACACAAGAAAATGAGAATTAACTTGTGACTTTTGGAGGAGAAGGAAAACAAAGATAAAGGCACTAAAGGAAGCTAAGTGGTACACTTCCTTGCCGCTGAGGTGGAGGTCGGAGACGGCCATTCATGAATGAGGACGGCGGTGGTTGAGGGACCACACAGTCAGATGGTGGAGGAACAATTTTTATAATCAGAGTAACTAAAATATGGAGTGCAAACATGCTGTTGCTGCAGTGTTCTCCACAAACCAACTATACCTAACTGTTCACCCAAATGTTTTATTATTTCCACTCACTTTAGAGTTATTATTAAAACAACCGGTAGCCTTATAGTCAGTACGGAGGATGTGGTTCTCCAGGCGGACGGCCCGGGTTCAAACCCACCTGTAGCTCCTTTCCCGCATGACATCCCCACTCTATCTCCATCCCTGATTTCAGACTCTATCCACTGTCCTGTCTCTAAATAAAGGCATAAACACCCCAAAATAAATATGACATTTATAACAGTAGAAAGGTCCCTCAATCATTGTTTTGGACCATTTGTTGTTTCTTTTATAAATGGATCGTCTAAAAAAGTCTTTGTGAGATTTTTCATTCTCTAGTCCCTCTTTTAGGTCCAAAGTGTGTGCTGCTGCTTTACCACGCTGACTTAGCAAGAAAGTACAAAACTGCTGCTGTAGGCGGTTCAATACTTTGCACCACTTTAGTTTGAAACCTAAGGCTTTCAGGGAGTTCAAAAACAGCTGTGTGTAAAATATGATGACTGCACTCTTTCTTAATCCAACTTTTTTACAAAGATGTCTTGAGCTATTAAACGGTGCATGTAAGAAAAAAACATAAAATTTTAACTCAAGACAATGTCAGTTGTTCCATTAAATTCTGTTTCAAAAGGACTTCATCTCAGAGCTATGTGTGACCAACACTACAACTTCAATCCAGAAAAACAAAGTCCGCCATTACTGAGTCTGAAGTTGTGCAACTTGAAGGTTAATAGAATCTTCTAAGGACTACCTGATAGCATCTGATGCCTGCTGTGTGAGAGCAAAGAGTTTGCCTGCAGGCTGCCTCCATTGAATCCTAAAGAGCACCAGGAGGTAATAAATAAAACACAGAGGGAAGACAGATCAATAAATAAAAATCTAGTGGTCCAACCCAGAATCCTATTCGGCCAAGGCCTGCTCTAAAGCACAGATGGGCGACTGGAAGAAGTGCATTAGAGTAAAAACTGTTGTAGTTTTTCTACACCCATTGGTCATCAGACCTTCTTCAACAGCTGCTGTATAATTAAATCTCTTTTTGCTCTTTTGAACTGGACCTACTTTTGATCTAATATCTACTTTGTATCTCTTCTCCTCCACTAGGTGTTGAATGCATCGTTGTTTTGCCTGAACCAAGGAGTCACTGGGATCCTGTGTTTGGCACCTGCGTCTTCCTCTTCTCTTTCCTCATCCCCGTGGCTATCATCAGCATCTGCTACAGCCTCATGGTTAAGCGCCTGCGCAGCGTTCGAATCTTGTCCGGCTCCAAGGAAAAAGACCGCAACCTGCGGCGCATCACGAGAATGGTCCTGGTTGTGGTGGCGGCCTTCGTTGTCTGTTGGACCCCCATACAGATCATGGTCCTTGCTCAGTCCCTGGGCTTTAACCTGAGCAGCCTGTTCACACTGGTCCTGATGCACTTCTGCATCGCACTGGGCTACGTCAACAGCAGCCTGAATCCCGTGCTCTACGCCTTCCTCGACGAGAACTTCAAGCGCTGCTTCCGAGAGTTCTGCCACCCGTCGCCATTCCGCCTCGACACCCAGCAGTCGGGTCGGATGAGGAGCATTGCCAGGGAGGTGGCGGCGGCTTACAGTTGCAAGGCCGGAGACGGTGGGGGGCATGGGGGAGGGACGCCCAATCCGGCATGACTAGGCGTGGAGCTCCCCCTGGTTGGGGTAGACCCCAATCAGAGGAGAGAGAACCAGGCGACGGGGAACTCCAACACAGAATTGACTCAGATTACAGCTCTCTAGCGGCACGAGCCCCCCCAACCCCCAACTAGAAGACTGGCCTGGGGTGGGGGGGAGGGAGATGAGGAGGATGGGGATGAAAGGAAAAGAATTTAGATTAGACCCATGAGACCTACACCGTGGTGGCATTGGTTGATTTTGGTAGGAGATGGTGCCAAATGTGAAAGTATCATTGCCAACTAGATCGTTTATTTTGGGAAGAAAGGGCAGTATCATATTTTTAATGAAGCTTGAGACTTTAAGAAACCTGATTGAAGGACTTGCAAGGATTCAACTATATTCAAGTGGATATTAACACATAGGCGTTGGCAGCATTATTGGACTTTATTGTAGCCCCAAAAACAACAGCCTCAGACTCTGTATTTGCCAACTGAGCCTGTCACCCAGCTGCTGCATGAAAGATGACATTATACTTGGGATAATACAGCAGGAGTTTGGGTTTCAAATTTGGAAAGAGTATGGAAGGGGCAAAGGGTTTATAGATGGGGCTGCAGATACCAAAATCTTTGCAAACACCATGAACTGTTTGGTGCAAGTAAAGAAAAAATAACAACTTTGGATGCAGGGATAGGACTGATCTCGCAGTGGAGACCAAGGACTTTTGCCAAGGACGAGGAAAACCTTCTGGAAATGTGAAAATGAGGAACACACTTTGTTAAGTTTATCAGATCTTTATCACTGATGTTTCAGACTGATATAATTAGTGTCACAAGCGGAGAAAAAAATGGAACACACAGCGCCCCAACTGATATCGTTTTTTTTTTTTTAATTGTGACAAAAAAATGGGTCTGTAGGGGTATTTTGCTGCAGTGCCCCTATCGGGACATCGTAGACAGGAAGTTGGATGTAATATTTGTGTACAATAGCTAGCATAGCGTAAAGAACAACGTGCGACAAACAAACTATTTGACAGTAGTTCTGAAATTGTGTCTATGAGCCCAGAATGGGTCACATGAATGTTATTTTCTCGATGTGTCCTGAAAGAACTAAGCCTGAGAAATCCTGTCATGGAACTTATTTCTTAAAGCTTTTGTGATTTTTGAAAACTTTCTATAATCACTGTTGGGTGTTAGAAATGTAGGGGTGGGGGAAGGGGAAAGTCTGATGAGAATGTAACCTGGGGAAAAAAAACATTGAAAGGACAAGTCTAGCAGGAATATTCATCTTTTCCCCCTTTTTGCTTTGTTTCAAATATAGACAGTAATGACAAAAACTGCTGGTGGTGGGTCAAATGTAAAATTGTCAAATTGCTTTTATTCAAGGTTTAATATCATAGGCTGTATCTAAGAAGTAGACATGTCTACTGAAATTCCCCCATTAGTTTGTTGGTTACCAGAGCCTTACTTTTGGCTTTTTGGCTGCAATTGTCCTGATTTTATTGAAGCCAGATGTGGCCATATTTGGGGGCCCCAAGAGGGTTAACCCTTTCTGTGTACTTCAGTTGACAGGTCACCCTTCTCAATTACAGGTACAATAGCATGAGGTGATAAACAAATGGTTCCTTTTGCAAAAAGAAGAGTCACCTCCTTTCGTCGTTTAAGACACTGATGCAATGGCTCCAAAATGAACACCAAGGGGTTATGTCTACTTCCTTTTATTACAGTCTGTTAGAAACCTGTTGTACATTTGCAGCAGGATTAAATTTGCCCGAAAACAGAATATTTTGAACATTAAATATTTGTTTTAAGCACATTGTCATGAAATGATTCCTGTTCAGATTTGTAAAAACATTCCTTATCTTTAGAAACGTGCAGACCAGATGTAATGGACAAAGCATCTTTGATTATATCACTGAACTTGATTGATTGACGATGATGTGTTTTGTAAAGTTAATAGAAAAAATCCATTTATACATTGCACATTACACCTCAGAGTTTGCCTTATATGTATTTGTAAACCTTGTAGTATTGCACCAATTTATTAACTGTATCACCAGTGACTTTTTGAAGCAAGTCCAGTTTCACTTTGTGGATAATTTAGGCTCAATTTAGAGAATATGACCAACTGTGGAATGGACAGATCTAATAAAACAATGACAACATGTGTAAAAAGCTTAGCTGGCAGTACATTAACATCTGATTAGACCTGCACCGATTGGGAGAATCAGGGCTGATACCAATGTTTGAAATAACAATTTAGACAACTGCCAATGCAATTTTTTGGTGCAACACTCCCACAATGCCACCGTTTATTCTCTTGTTTGACAATGAAAACAAGTCAGTTTGTTCAAAAACATCGGCTAAAGACATTGGTTCATGCCACATAATTTGCAGATGTGCTGATATCTGTCAAGAGGTCCAATATCAGCCGATACCAATGTTGAACTGATGCATTGGTTCATCCCTAATTTGAACACATTCTGTTGAAATAATACAAACTTGCTTGCAGACTATGGATCAAATACAATTATACATGCCATGGAAAGATTGGGAGTGCAGATAAAAGCATGGCTGAGGAAATGTATTCACAGATGTTTTTTTAAATTGACACGTCTTGGTCTGCTGTTTCCTCCCAGGTCTGTAGTTGCTGTCAGGTTTTGAGGAATAGGAGGTGAAACTGATCAGGTTCTGGGATGATGTTGGGTTTGTTGGTTATCTCTGAATCTGAGATATTTTTGTGATCAGTGTTTTTACATTGGGTGGGGTCGGGTGGGATGTTATCCGTGAGTCATTTTGACTCCCAGCAACAAAGTGGCAAAGCAGGAGGAAGGGGTCACAGTGGTCTGACCCCCTCTTCAAGGGACAAAGGGGCTCTCTCTCTCTCTCTCTCTCTCTCTCTCTCTCTCTCTCTCTCTCTCTCTCTCTCTCTCTTTCTCAACCCTGAAACAGAAAACACATTTAATTCTCAATTTCTGAAACAGAAAACACATTTAATTCTCAATTTCTGGAAATTACGCTGACACAAAAAACCACTGCGTTTCAACTTTTGGACATTTTATTTGACATTATGTTGACATTTGAACTGACAAAAGACGAACATCATTACACCAGAAATGATGGAATAATGCAAAAAAGCTTTACAAAGTATGTTTGTGAGAAAATAAATTAAGTTGAATGTCACGTTTGATAATCGTATGACACTAACACTTATAATTTGGAACTGCTCGCTGTAGTTGATGGTTAAAGCGACCAGGCTTTGAGAATGAATGGTGGGTTCTGTTTTAGGGCTGCTGTCTCCTTTCATTTAGTTTGTGTCTCATCCTGAATTTATGATCAGTTAAATCGGTTAAGATGTCTTTGTTTGATATGTTTTTGGCGTTTGGATTTAGCATTCGACACCAATCGCTGTCATGAAGTATTGTGTATGTAGTCAGTTCTTTTCTTTAAGTTATACGAGTACAAATTAATGTCTGTGCTGCATCTACTCTTACCAGCACGTGTGAATCTTTAGTTTCTATCTTACGTTTGTCATCTATCGTTTGAGAGGAAAAATTCTATGAACTTACATTGCCTTAAATATAAAGTAAAGTCTGTTACTGAAGCTCGCTCTCTGGCTGGATACGATGTGTTCTAGTTCTTATTGGTGCTTCGCTGTTAGTTTAAAATATAAAAGACCTGCATTAATAAAGCCTCTGAGGACAGGATCATCTTATAATAAGGGCTTGTTGGCATTTAAATAAAGTGCAAATCAATCTTCCTTCATTTCCCATCAAGTTTGTAGAATAAAACTTGAGGCTATCACCCCGAGTCTTACCTCCGTCTATAAGTTACCCACACCTGAATACATGTAAGGTTGTCATCATGGATTACAAAAGCCCAAAAAGGTGTATAGATGAAGCATGAATTATTGCCAGAAAAAAATAGTTAGGGCTGTCAAACAACTAAAGTTTTAAACATATTTTTCATTCTGTTTGAATTTCCATTATTTTGTGTTTCAAAAAAGTTGTTTTATGCTTTTATTTTGTAATTTTGGACCAGCCTAAGTGTGTGTGTCTAAAGGGACTAAATATTAAATATTAATTTTCTTTCGAAAAGAATGAATGCTTTAAAAAAGAATGAATGCATTTATTTTGTGGCGTCGCGATTAATGGGTCAACGCTGACAGCCCTGATTAAAATGCTATGAAGCACAAAACACTGCAATGAGTTCTGATATAGAAAATATTGGGCTCTGCTCCCCTCAAAATATGTATTCTTCTGTCAAGATTTAAAAATTTGAATCGCTGCCAAACTGTCCAACAGTGACTGCAAACTCTAAAATTAATACAATATACCTTTAATTATCCTTATCGGAGCTTTGAAATCTCAAGAGTGAAATTAATTAAATTGTCAGCAATGGCGTTGAGAAGGCTATTCATTTTAGATTCAGGAAGGGGATAACATCCTATTAGTATGCAGTCTGGCAATATGAGGCACCTATGCCCTAAAGTCTACAACATTTCTTAAATCTAGCTCTAAAAAGATTATTTTAGCATGATTGGACTGCAACATTTTGCCATACCTCTTGCACCTTCATGATGAGTTCTGTCTGTCCTTGGAAGTTTTATGAATTCAGGTCCATTTTTTTGTACAACCTAGCAGACTGTGTGTAGGAAAAAGTGGCCGGAGCATCAAGGACACTGGCTTCGACATGTTTCACCTTTTATGAAGACGTGCTATAACGCAGCTGTGAGGCTCTTTGTGCTTAACTGTCACTGTTAATTACTGAAGACTCAATGATATTTTGAATTACTGTTTGATGTTTTTTGTAGCAAAAACTACACAAAAAGGACTCCCAAGAGGGCGACATATCTGTTGAACAAAGCAGAATGAGCATACGTATACTGTCTGTTAGCTCTGTATAACATTCTGTTTGAATATTACTCTTATGTAAAGGTATAAAACATGATTCATTTAATGTCTGACCTCTTTCTCTCTTGTTACTCTTGATGTAAAATAAAAAAAAGTTTCTCGCTAACGTTATGATATGTATTGTTACCTCCATGCGATCAAACGCCGGGAGGCTCCTTTCATTCGTTTACATTTTACAGACCACATGAATGTCCAATGAAAAACCTGTTGAAAATCCAAATGTAAGAAGAAAAAGCATATAATGTTGATGTTGTTGTAATGACTATTATTGCTATCAAAAGAGAAGAACAGTGTTACATAAGTGTTTTTTTAAGCTGTGCGGGAGACTGTCCAGTATGTATCTATGTAATACTTGTGGACTGCATTTTGCTCACTGTCCGAGTCATGAAATCAAACAGTTCTCATGAAATCAAACGGTACTCATAAAATCAAACAATTATCATAAAATCAAACAGCACTCGCAAAATCAAACTGTTCCCACAAAATCAAACGGTACTCATAAAATCAAACAATTATCATAAAATCAAACAGCACTCGCAAAATCAAACTGTTCCCACAAAATCAAACGGTACTCATAAAATCAAACAATTATCATAAAATCAAACAGCATTCAAAATCAAACAGTTCCCACGAAATTAAACAGTTCTTAGGAATTCAAACAGTTCTCACAAAATCAAACAGTTCCCACAAAATCAAACAGTTCCCACGAAATTAAACAGTTCTTAGGAATTCAAACAGTTCTCACTAAATCAAACGGTTCCCACAAAATCAAACGGTTCCCATGAAATCAAACAGTTCTCATGAAATCAGTTCACATTAACAGTTCTTAGGGTTCTAAATAGTTAAGAATTTGGACCACAAATCTTTTCCCCATTTTGTTTTCTGATTTCCAAACCAATATGTGTAGAAATTACCAATTAACAAACTCTTTTTTACTCTAAGTATCTCACCTTGATGATAGGGAATGGGTCAGACTATCCGCCTAATGCTAAGTTTAACCTATAAGTGTATATCATGGAATCAGTTTCGATATAAATGCGATATACTATCTCTTACATGTACTATTCCTTGTAGGTTTTGAACACTGGTTGTGATTGGTTGTGATCAGAAGAACTGTTTGTATCACATGACTCTGGCTGTGGCTACATAAACATACTTGTTCCTGTTCTGCAGATTGCAGGCTGAACTACCATGCTAGCTGGCTTGTTGTCAATGCATAGAGAATTTTTTGCTGAAGCTTGAATTTTAAATTGTATATTTTTCTCTGCTTATGAAAAGAACAAATAAATGATGGCCATGTATGAGTCGCTGTTTTATTTTCCTGACTCTTTGTCTTGAAAAACCATGAAACACCTGTAGGCTATAAGCACAACCACTGTTTTGGTATTAGCACTGGCATAGCCACCTATACACTTTGGAGTCCAAGAGAACCACATTTAATCATTTCCACATGCATGTGCTGGTAGTGTTAGACAATTTTACCAAGGTTTACACCAAGGCCTCCAATTGATCTGAGATATTTGAGATCATTTTACCGATATCACATTTTTGGAGATCCCGAGCCCACATGTCTATAAAAAATATGTGATGTATATCAAGATATATTGAACACAGGCTACTGTGGGCCAAAGCCAAAACAAGAAACTTACAGAGTCTCTGTCTGCCATTCATTGTGCAGAAATGTCATCCATGCCGAAAAAGCCTAACCCCCAGTTTGCCACTCTAGTCAATCATTTTGTTTCCAGTGCGCTGCAGGTTCATGTCAAGCTGGACAGAATATAACAACCCGGACAGGAAGTCAGACAAGGAAACGTACAGAGCATCCAGTCAATTTCAAAATAAAACACAATACAAGAACTCACGATCATATTTTCCAAAACGCTATCAGAGCGAGCTTAGGAGCTCCCAGGAAAATGTGTGGTTCGTAACTTAGATTTACAGATAGCGACATGAGAGAGATAGAGATAGGAGCTCTTATTTTGACATTCATACTACGTTGGTTGTATTGGTGATAATCTGTATCTTTTTTGTGCCAATGTGTCTCAAATTCATAAACTTGATGAAAAAACACTTCAGTGTTTTACAATAACTTTGATAGTGTGTTAGGGATATAAATGTAAAGCAGGGTAATTCCACATTTCGAGTCACTTTTAACTGTATATTTACTTTCTACTTTGGCTGTAGGTTCCTGTGCATTTATTAATTGTAAAGACAGTAAGCCTCCAGTCACACATCAATGGATGTGCTGCTAATTGGACGAGGTGGAGGAGGAGGAGGAATCAATCAAGCCTGTTTATCATCATAGAAACACGTTGGACATCAATCTTAGTCGGAGAACCTGCATGTGCATCGCTTTTACAATGACAGTAGCCTTTGTTTAAACTGTCAGTGTGATGTGATTTATTATCAGTAGTTTGCAGCTTACCATGGTCCCCCACACTGCATAAGATGAACCATGGAAATATTCTGTTTAAAGAATCGTTTTTTGTACTCTGCCAATATTTAATCAATGTTTTTCAAAGGAATGACAACGCTGAACCTCGATTTTTCAATTTCCATTCATTCCAAATGCATCAAACTTATAAGAACCACCTTAACAAGTAAAAAGGAAATAAAGAATAGTACAGAGCTCAAACATGGACAGACACGTTCCTTTAAAATGAGGATACTTTCACCAACATACTCACAGCTGCACTGTATACTTAAAGGCCCTGAAACACCAAAGAGATCGTCGGCCATCGGTCATATTTGGACCGTCAGTGAGTGGTTGTCGCCCTAGTTTTTGCAGTGTGTCCGGCTCCGCCTGCCTTTATTTGGCCGATTAGACATGTTGAATTGGTGTCAGCGGTCGGTGAGAGGTATCTCTCTTATTGGTTGTTGGGAGGTTTCATTTCTCTCCAGCTCTCGACACAGGTTCAGGAAAGCCCCTTGAGCATGCCGCTGTAGTATCCTTGCTTTCACCCATTAGTGCGGTTTCTCCTTATTTGTCTCCTCCGCCTCTT